AATGCCGGTCCATACTGGATTTTAGAACTCTTCATAGATAATAATAAATATTGAGAGTATAATTAAATTAAATTCAATTCATTTATTAAAGTGCTTGACAACAGCCAAAAAGGCCAATAACAGCCAAGCACTAACAATAATATTGATTATATTAATAACTTTTAATAATTCCGATAAGTGATACGGTTTGGTTGCTTTTAAAATCTTCAATTTATATTGTATTTTAGAAACAATCTTCGTTAGACCAAAAACACTTTAGGTCATGCCTGTAATTATAATATTTTGTTACAGGCAGAAAAGGAATGTCCCCCTCTCCATCCTTAGAAGATTTCGAGGTGTTAAGAATTTTGGGAGTTGGCGGTAAGTACAAATTCTGTGAGTTTCTCTGCTTTTACAATTGTCGAAGCAGCTGCTTCAGAAGTAAGAAAAATTAATCTCGCTATGAGTTCGCAGGACACATGCTTGTGTAACTACAGACATTTTAAAGATGTTCGTCATCGGTTACAACTGTTACTACACAAAAACATTTGTAATTATGAAAAATTTATACTAAATAAAGCAAAGCGTAATGTACGCGTTTGGGGGGTAAGCTAGTATGGCTCCTATTAGTTCTTAACCTCGACACTAGGTAGGGATGATTGGTCACGAGTCTAGCCCTGACCGCCCTTTACTACCGACAACCATGGAATAGGATGCTCGTTGGAACCCAGAGCCGGTCTGGACGCACAGGCTACAGGAAAATTCTGTCGGAGATCGAACATCGGTGGTGTCAGTATACAACACATACTGACTGAGCTACTCCCTGCTCCTATTAAAAATAGTTTTTTTATGATAATCTTCTTAAACTCAGAGCAAAATCTTGATGTCCGATTGAAATTAATCATCAGAATATTCGTCGACTTACCTCAAGGCGACATCTTCGCTGTGCTTTGTTTCCCCAGACTAATGCCGGTCCATTGTGGATTTTAGAACTTTTCTTGTTTCAAGAAGTAGCCAGTGGTTGAAGATGACTGGAAACAGCGCAGAATATTTTTATTCCTAAACGAAGGCGATTGAAATATTCTGCGAACATTCCTTTGATAGCTGACAGTGTTTTGAATGTATCCTTAGTAAAACGGATTCACAAAAGCGAACCCTTATAAATGCTTAATCATTATCCTACGAATTTCTCACTAATCCTGCAGGTGACGTCACGTCTGCTTAATATTTTAGTAGCTGGGAGAAATCTCAGCATCAAACGCGTGGAACCATACTTATACTGTTTACCTTCATCATGAATGCATTTAAGGACATTGTCAACAATTCAGTTCTTAAGCAGACACACATTGAGACCAGTATTTTATCGCTGTCTTCCTAGCACATGTTAATGTTTACTGCAGCTGAAAATGTAGTGATGCAGGGCGACAGAATAGAAAAGACAGCCCAACATTCGTAGGAAATTTTGATGTCCTGTCAGAATGACATTCATAACGAAATCAAGAGCAGATTAAATTCTGGGAATGCTTGCTACCATCCAGTCAAAAATCTTTTGTCCTCCCGACTCATAAAAAAAATAGATTCAAATTTGAAAAAGTGTAATTTTGAAAATATGGGCGCGAAAGTTAGTGTGTCACCTTGAAGAAGAAACAGGCTGAGGATTTTTGAGAACAGAGTGTTGAGGAAGATATCTGGACCTAAGAGGGAGAGGGCGGATCATCGAGAAAATTGCGTGATGAGCTTCAAGCCCTGTACTCCTCACCTGATGTTGTTAGGGTGATTAAATCGTGGAGGATGGGATGGGCAGGACATGCTGCACGCATAGGGGAGGGGAGGGGAGGGGTGTTAACAAGGTATTGCTTGGGAGGCCTAAATGAAGAAGACCTCTTGGAAGACCTGGGCGTAGCTGGGAGGATAACGTTAAAATGGACCTTAGGGAGATTGGAATCGATGGAGCGAAATGGATGCAGCTGGCTCAGGGTAGAGTCCGGTGGCTGGATTTTGTGAACACGGTGATGAACCTTAGGGCTCCATAAAGAAAGTTAGCTGTTCTTTGACATTCCGAGTACACAATCAACTTTTCAAAGAATTTTCTGCTCCATAGGGTGAGTAAATGAAGGTTTCAGAACGTGTTATTCGACCATTTACTTGATATATCTTGGGAAAGGAGGGTTGGCACCTCCAGCCAAATAAATTAGTAACTGCCTTAGAAAACGAACTTTACAAGGGAATGGTCCGGTTGGTCATGTTGAAACCTCACCTGAAATTTTGCTCGTCTAAAGAGCCCATCTAGTAATGATTGTACACAAAATTTCAGCTGTTGATAAGCTGTGCAAGGGTGCGAAAAAAATTGCTCAAAATTCGAATGTACATTTAAAATTCGCGCCATCGCGCATGCGTCTGACGGCAGTGCTGCCTAGCAGTGGCGCGGTATTCACCGGTACATTGCAACGGAGAGCGTGGGTTAGGCGCTGGTGAGAAGGCAGTGAAAGACTTCAGAAATGTCACACACACATGTAGTTTATTGAATAAGTACGTACATAGGAACCTTCTATCTATATAATACGCAGGTGTTCTATATGGTGCTTTGTAGAGACAATGTACTGAAACAAAAGACTGTTCACTCATCCATGGCCTACTATTTACATGTACTAATATACAACGCAGGAAAACAGGTGTTTCACTACATTAAATCGTACTATATTCTTTAATTAAGCACATAGATAATGATTTTAATTTTGATATGCTGCTTTGTTAGACTTTCCGATAAAATCAGTTTTAATGACTACTTAAATTTTCCCGTCATTTTTGACGGGTATTTATCTGGTATATTTTATATTAGGTATCAAGCAGAGCTCGCAGAATGAGTACGAAAAAATATGAGAAGGCAATTGTGACAGAAATGTGAAGCAACGATAGAATGTTTGATGCATATATTCAATTTGCACCACGAACATCAAATTAAAGGTTTATTTGCACATTTCTCTACACGGAAAAATGCTCACACGTACTGTTTAAACTTCACTTCATAGCATGCACATAACGCATTATTAAGAGTGTATTACTTTATACTATTGTGAATGTGAGCATTTATGACAGTGAATTTTTGTGTGGGCTTTTATTATGTGCGCATTTATTTCGTCACCCTCGAAATTACATGTTCTAATCATTCAAAACCACATATGGAATATATATATTGACAAGTTTTACTTTAATCATGAAATTTTAGTATTGTACAACACTTATTAACCTTTATGAATGGAGAGTTTACAAATGTGAGATCCCTTTGTTGAGCAGATATCAAGGTGAAACATAACTGAGATGCTGTTAATATTGTTACAGGATGGGGTACAGTGTATCTTGTCCGTAAGAAGAATGGTGTTCACCGAGGAAGATTGTTTGCAATGAAAGAACTGCCAAGGCAATTGGATGTGGAAACGTGGATGGGTGATTCAATGTTCAAGAATTATATGGAACTGTGTAAAACAGAGCGTAACGTGTGTGAAAGAGTACGTAATGCCCCATTTTTGGTCACATCTTATTGCACTTTTGAGACAGAAGATAATCTGTATCTGGTGATGGGTGAGTACATAAAAAATTGTATTTGTTTTATCCCAAATGTGGGAGAAATCTCTTCCCCTTGCTAAGCTATCTGTCAGTGTACAGTCTTCTTCATTTTTACTTTGCAGTAACACTGATGTAAAATTCATTATATGACACACTAGCATTCACTGGGCTGTAGTAGTGGTAATAAGGTCATGTTGTTATTGTTACAGAGTACATGGAAGGTGGAGACTTGTACACATTTTTAATGAAGCGAATTACCCTTACAGAAGATGAGGTTAGATTTTATCTCGCTGAAATTATCCTGGCTGTAGAGAAGCTGCATGAGGTAAGCACTTTTGTTACATTGCAGTTCTAGCCAATAAATTGCATTTAGAGCAGTATAAAACCTAAAGTATTTAATTGATTATTTATATGGTTACAGAATTTTTCAGTTTTATTCAGTACTTTATTTCCTTACTACAAATCAGGTTATTTTTAATTTCTGGAAGAAATGTCTAAGGTGAAGTCAAAGAGTAATTTTATCTATCCCAGAATTTCTACCTATTTCTTTTGAACAAAGTTATCAGGTTTAATTTCTAATTTTCTTATATATAAAATAATTTGCTACCACACATTTGTATTTTTCACTTTACAACAAAAATATTAAGCTATCCTAGTGCCATAAGAAGTTAGCTACTGTGGCATTCTATTCCATTCTTCTTCTTAACACTAAATACAAAAAACCGAGGAGTTTTCAGATGTGGTGTGAGGTAACACAGTTTGAAGATGGCTGCTTCTGAAACACCGTCATTGTGTCTGTTCACTCCTCTGAAACATTCATCACATTTTCTTCGTAACAAAGCATGCTCTGTCACAACACAGTTAAATTAGTAGTTGCCACCACATGCATCAGTGGTGAGACATAACAATTATATGTCTATGTCCCTGCCAGTTTTGTCTTATATTACATTTACTAACCTTGCTGGATTTGTGGTTGATCCTAGCCTTCAAAGTTAGGAAATCATCACATGGTAGAATAGATAACAGGAAATTGTCTCTTCTTATGAAGGAAACAAATTCACACATCTGGGTTATTGCAGTGTACAGATTAGGTGACATCTCTGTATCATTCCACATTTGAGTTTGGGGTTACCTGTCTCACCATTAACATCGTCCTGATAATGGAGGCAGCAGCGAACTTTGAAACATTAGTAAACTTCTAATAGACTACATGGTGCTACAGTCCATAAGACAACCATCTTCATGTTCACCACGAGAACCTCAAATCCTAATCACAGTTACCATCCATCAGAATCCATAATTATTATCTGCATTACAAAACTAAAAAGAGGAATTATTTTAGAGATATTAAATCTGCCTTGTTCAGGAGTTCCCACTTCAGCCACAAGATCACAGCATCTCAATGTGTACCTCACAACTTTCCTCATCTGTCATTTTGTTATCGTTGCTCATACAATATTCAAAGTTATGATTTGGAAGTCATGCAAAACAGCATAACCTCCACATGAGATTTCACCCAAATCTGCCCAGTGGTTATCGTGTTGAATCTATTGGACAGATGGACAGACACGACTAGCCCACAATACATTCTTCCTGTGTGCACACCATGCAAAGAAAGCATAACAACATTCATTAGCCTAGCAATATTTAATTAATGTAATCAGTAACAATGCATAGGACAACTTCGAGTAATATATGGCAGAAAAGCAAAATACTGGATCTTCATCTCACTGCCATAATAAGAATGGAAACTTGCAACCTGTCTCACCTTTTTTCATAACTATGTAGTGAATTTTATTTCTTTCAGATGGGAGTCATACATCGTGATCTGAAACCAGATAACATCCTGATGGATTCTAGTGGTCATATTGCAATTGCAGACTATGGGTTATGTAAGGAGATTCCTCATCATGGGAAGGTAAATGTAATATCCGTCTTATCGGTTGGTGAGTCTGCCTACAGGAACACACAGGTTGGAAATGTAGGAGCTGTGTTCCACTGTCTGTCAGACAGTACTCTTTCTTTATTTGAGGAACGTCAGAGACCTCTAGAACATTCATAAACTTCTACCAGAATCACACTACAACACAGAAGACATCCATCTTTGGACCACTCATATTCAGAGTTTTTTTGTAACAAGATTAAAGGAATTATATATGTAACAGAAATCAGAAGTTATTTACATTTCAGGGAGTGAACTCAGAAATGCAGAAACTTATTACTAATAGAATTTCCATTTGTAATTTGCTCTTCTGGAGTTTCATAAATAGTTGCTCTGATTCAGTTCAAAATCTATTACATCCTGTCTAGTATACAGAATATTAATTATATATGCTATGTAAACTTGTGTCTTAATTTGACGAAGGAACACAAATTTTTGTGTAGAAACAGGTCAATACTGAAAAGTAAGAGGGATAAAGTAAGGGGTCAATTTGGATGTTATTTAACAATGAACTTTGCGGTTCATACAGCTTGCCAAGTGTTGTTAGGACAGTGAAATTAAGGACATTACTTGCAGTGAGCCTGACATGTAAGGAGAGAGGAAATGCTACAGATATATTAATGGGAAATCTTCTTGCAAATTGTCAACCTGGAAGACCAAGTAGGAGATGGGAATACAGCATTAAGAGAAATCTCAGAAAACTAGGTTGTGAAGGAATTAGATGAACGTAGTTGGCTACACATTGTGTCCAATAATTATCTTTGGTATTAGCCATGCTGAAAGTTTGGTCTACTACCAGAGAGTTAGTACTAGTTTCTTTGTATCTCAAATTCCTTTTTAAAGTGTTGCTTTCATTAACAGGACAAACGTGCATATACAGTGTGTGGGACTAATTTATATATGGCACCTGAAGTGATCAAGGGCATGGGATATAGCAAGGTAAGTATCTTAAACTCTGACAGTACAATTATAATGATTTCATTCTTTTATACAACTGAACCAGAAATATGTAAACAAATGAGGCATCTGTAGGATGTGTAGTTTTCATGGTGGTGAGTCTGAAGATGGTTGTCTTGTGGGTTGTTGTGCCGTGTATCTGGCAGAAGTTTACTGACGTTTCAGAAGTCCTTGCTGCCTCCATCATCAGAACCTGTCATGGAAGCCCATCATTCATTCTCTCAAAGTATCCCATAGAACATTGCCAGTCCCACCTGGGCCACTAAGCCACTACTCTGCCCTTTTCAGGGCACATCTGGCCCCAGAAAGTGCTCATGTCCACCCACCTCCCATATATTTGGTGATCCACCGGCTGGACTCCGAGGGGCCCTTAAAAGGGCCGGTATCTTGCACCACTCTCTTTTTCCTTCTCTCCATCTCTCTCACACTGTGACATGCCCCAAGCTAATATTGGTTCCCATGCTCACGCCTGATTCTAACACCAGTCCCCACTTGTTAGGTTTAGGGTCATCGTTGACTGTCAGTTTCCTATAACTCTAGCATTTCCACTTGTGCGGCTTACTCGTCATCCTCATGCAAGGACCTCTGTAACTTCGGTAAACTTCTGCCAGACTACACGGCACAGCAACCCAGGAGACAACCTTCTTCAGACTCACCGCCATGAAAACCTGAGGTTCCATAAAGAAAGTAGTCTATTCTTTGACAAACCAAATATACAATAGTACCTGAGAGGTGCAGAAATTTAAAATAAGTTTTCTTTGTCCTTGTCACTTTGCCCCAGAGAAGAAAGTAGCTGTGAGTTTATATTTTTGCTGCATTATTTCCAAAAGGAGAAGGAATAAATATGTTTATGAGTTAGACATAGATTGTGCATAATAGTTTAAATGTTGTATATAAACAGCTTTTGAACTAAAGTAAAGAGAAACATATGCAGTAACTTGTAATAAGTACTGCTGCAATCATAGCAGTTTAAGAGGTATGAATTAATGAAACTCTCAAAGAGTACATGTACTTTCACAAATAAACTTTGAGAAACTGTGCTTGTTAGCTTTGCCCTATCTGAATACACGTAACATTTCAAGAGTCACTGATGTTAAGTATTCTGACTTCACTGCTGATGTCATTTAACGTAAAATGAGATCTTAAAGTTCTGACCCAGCACTTGTGAGAAAAACTAAGAAAACTCAGTAGTCTCTGTGTCTGACTAGAAATCAAACTGTGTTAATTGTCTGAACTGGATAAATGAAGAGAGAGTATTTATCATACATAGAAATGTTCCATATTAAGGGTATTTCTAAGAAGATACTACTTTTAATAGTGTCTATGTTCAGTATTCTTAAGAATTTGACATTGACATAAGACATTTTCAACATTTGCACCATCAGTGTCCAGAACCATCTGCTGCCATTACTGGAAATTGGCACAATTGCAGCTAGGGTTTCTTCACTGATGCTGATTCATCCAACAATGTGTTCATAGTGTGTGTTTACTGCCCCCCTGACACACCACACACATGCATGCACACACACACACTTACTCACTCACTCACAACTGTTTGCTCACATAGCCATTCAAATGAAAATGGAACTCAATACTAAAGCATCTATTTCAGAGAAATGCTGCAATGTCCTCAAGAAGCATCTGGATTTATTAGCCTCAGGAAGAGCTTGCTGCCTTTGAATTCTGTATGAAAACAGTTTCATATCTTCTTATGTTAGTCTGTGTGTTGATATTGCTCCCAAGACGAGTTCTTGAGAAAGATTTTACTTGCTATACGTGGTAAATGTTTTCTGGTGTTTTAACAGACTTATTCTTACTGATAACAACCTTCTTATTGTTGACAGCACTCCCAGGCACTTGGATCTTGAACTAATATGTTTATTCCAGACCCGCTTTGTGCTTTCCTGCCTTAAAATTTGACATAAATTTGTACTGAAACATGATAACACTAGCAGTCTGGTAAAATCTTTTCACTGAAAACACATGTTCTGTTGTGTACTCCATCTTGATCACTGCTAATTCATGACATTGCTACAAGGGCAGAACATTTTTCCACGACTACTGAGACTGTTATTTGTGTGTGTGAGGGGGGGGTGGGGTGAAGAAATTAAAATGACTGATTACTGCTGTTGACCCTAATTTAAATTGTTGCAGGCTGTCGACTGGTGGAGTACGGGCATAATAGCGTACGAGATGCTGTTTGGATTCACACCTTTTGAGGTTGAAGGAGAAGCGATTCATAAGTTCACAAACTTGTAAGTCTGTTGTGTTAGGAAGAGACCTGACGTGTTCCGTGTGAACATTATATTCCCTTGAACAAAGTTCTGTTAGTTCTATACAAATAAGTTCATGGCTAACACAAGACTGTCTGTTTTAATGCCAATGAATTAGGTGCATATATTTCTAACTATGGAGAATTAACCTTAGAAAATGAAACAGAATACAAGCACTATCATCACTACAGCCATGCAGGAAGCAAGACTGTTGTGCAGCATTCATTGAACAAAAGGGTTCCGAAACCTGAAAAACATAACATGTTTAACATGAACCATCTTCCCTATCCATTATATGACCTATGTTGAACATATCTATGAAAATTAGATAATTATCAGGCTTTTTATATGTTTGAGAGGCGTTATAAACACTAATTGTGAATGAATATTTAATTCATATGTTTTTAATGGCAAATACAAGAATGAACTTTCCTTTTGCAGTCGTATACTGAAACAGAGAATAAGAATTCCACAACAATATTCCCCAGAAGTAACAGATTTTATAAGAAAATTATTAAGGAAGGATCCCAAGAGACGGTTAGGTGGAGGGAGAGATGATGCTGTGGAGATCAAGAGGCATCCCTTCTTTGCTGTAAGTCCTTTCCTAATATTTGTTACCATACAGTAATGTATGTAAATGTTTTAGTTCTGAACTCTGCCTTGTCCGTGTAACATACCAAGAACATTAAGTGCAATGTCAGCATGCAGTTGGAGACTTTTGACACTATTTATAAATAATTTGATTATTTTAAAAATTCAGTAAGTGGAAAGTGATTTACATCTCCAGGACAACAACTTGTGTGTAACAAATGCCATAACGCTATCAGTAGTTACACAGTACAATCACAAATAAGTTTAAAAAGATATGTGGAATGTACTGTCAGATCATAATTTCAGAAGTAACTTTTTAGTAAATGCCTTGAATTTGCCATGAACTTTTTGAAACCTCACTAGAATGATTAGATGTCCTCAAACATTTGTCCCAGTAAATGTAGCTTTCTACATGACTGAAGGGTATTTTAGACTCAGGTGTTCTCACTTCTACCTTGCCACACTTTACTCTTCAATCTATATTCTGGTCCATACCATTAATGTTTGTGTTTCATCCTACAGGGCATCAACTGGACAGACATAGCACAGAAAACTGTACCTGTGCCATACATGCCACTGCTTGTTAATGAGAACACTACCAGCATCAGTCAGGACCTTTCAGACACGGAGCTTTTCCATCAGACAGAAGTCTCTCAGTCGATGAGTGACAAATCTTTAGAGGTCAGAACAAGTACAATGATGCTTTAGTATGTGATGCATAAGAACAGGGTTGATTTATTTCTGGTGCTTGCACTACCATAATAACAGGTGTTAGCCTTGAAGGTCTTATAGTAATTAAGAATGTTGTGGTTATCCTTTTTCCTTTATATGCACTGGGACTGATACAGTGCATGCATTAAGATGAAATATTCAGACTGCCATACTTATGGAGAAGATTTGTGACCATAAGCATAAGTTATTGCCAAAATAATGGTTACAATGTTGTGTTGCGGGTAATAGCAGTAACATGAGGGTTAACTTCTTGAAATATATGATGTGACTGAGGAAAGGGACTTCTTTCTCCCATAAACCATTGTATTATGGATAACTGTATTGATCAGTGTATCTTTGACAAACTTTGAAGCATGTTGGGTCATGCCACAGCTCTGACAGTTGCCAGTTTATTGCTGCAGGGGCCCAGGTTGGTACCCAGGGTAGCCCTTGTGGGATTTGTGGTGGACAAAGTGGTATGGGGAAAGGTCCTTTGTATAGTTTATTTGGTTTCCCCCGTCAGTATTATTGCGCTGCTACTGCATATTCACTTGCGTATCATCTGGGGGCTGGGTAGTGGACATGTTAGGAGCCACTACATTTCCATAGAGAGTCTCTGCCCTTTGCACCAATAAAATCAAAAGTTAAAACAAAAAAATGGCCCATAGGTTGAATCCAGTGTGTAGTTCACACGTATTTAATATTTTGTTGGAATTACCAGACAAGGAAGTTAAAAATATGTAGTATTTTTATCTGTATTAAGTTCTATGAAGAACTTGGGCTTGTATTACTTTTCATGGAGAGATAATTATTGTTATTGTTGGTTGGCTTCACTTATTATTTATTATTGTAAATAGGTTAAATTTTTAAGGGAAAACTTGTGTAAAAATTATTTTGAGCATACTGTTTTCTGAATTTTCAATAATATAATGATTTGTCATTTCCTCAGCGCCTTCCCGTGTCCTCCTCAAATATTACGAGTTTGTTGGAAAAATTTGATAGTGCCCATTACTAGAATTACTAGTAAGCCTGGATAGCTCAGTCAGTATCATTATGGACTATGGGCTGGATGACCAGATTTCAATCCCCAGCAGGGCCAAATTAGTTTCCTTCTAACCTCTGTGTTAAGACTGGCTCTGGGACCCATCCAGCCTCCTATCCAATGAGCACTGAGGGGTAAATAGTGTCCTGGGTGTGACATTTATTACTCACCTCCATCTAGTGCTGTGGTCATGAACAAGAACACCACTTTATCTCCCCAAGCATGTCTGTGACATGTACATACAGGGGCACGTTTACTTTACGAAATTAGTGTGTTGCTGTATGTACTTTTACCCTTCACACCTAAAGAGTACACAATACAAATTGAAAAATGGAGATATTATGCATGTCATCCAAAGTGGTATTACAAATTGTTATCAACAATGAAAATTGACAGAGCAATGTAAACGAGTAGAAGCACATGTCACATTCAGTTTAACTCCTGATTTTCTTGGACCTTCTTAATTATTCTAAAGCTAAGTTGAAAACAAATGGTGGTAAAGCATTTTCATAGACTTTTCTGAGCTGGAAATGCATGAAACAAATGTTTGCTGATATGGGATTTACTACACATTTAATTTGAACAAATTTAAATTAGCCTAACCAGTTTCATACTGGGAACGACCCGTTCTTCAAGTGCCTGAGAATTGCGGGTCCTAACTTTGCGTTGGCTTGATCTATAGACATTCGGTAGGACTCCTTGGACGAGGGATCGGCCCGTCGCAAGGCCTCTACCTGTACACAGGACAGCACAACACAGAAAAACGCGGAGAACATCAATGGCTTGAGTGGGATTCGTACCCACGGTCCCTGTGACCAAGCGGCACAAGGCCCACGGCTCAGACTGCGCGGCCACTGCGGACCAACCAGTTTCATATGTGTACCAAATTCAGTGATGTGGAACTTACTACATTTCACTTGAACACATCTTAATTAGCCTACCACAGCCTTCTTTGAAGTTGAAAAATAGCTGAAAGAACTTCTCCAGTATCTGATGAATGCAAAATATGTAATGAGTACTTAAGTGATTTGTTACATTGAAATGCATAAAGACAGTGTCTAACAATTTTGTCTATGTATGTAATACACCATTTTATATGACAATGGTTCCTTCAATAATTTTAAAGGTCAGTTTTATAATTTTCTTATAAATACTATATTTTCCAACTTACATGTTTACTTTTGTCATGGAAAGTTCTGCATTACATTTGTGTGCATCTTGTATCTTACAGTCTGGAAAATGCCAACATTCTCCTGCACCTACGCAGAATTCATCAACATTATCAGTGATGCCAGCAGCAAGGGCATCGCATGGATCAGCTGTAGAAGAGACTTCCTCATTAGCTTGTACATCAAACACTGCACCAAGGATGGAATCTACCAGACTGTCACACAAGAGAAAGCGGGATAGTGAGTCACAAGGGTCCATTACATCATCTGAGAGAAATTGTCGTGTCAAACCTTCAAGTAGCATGACATTGACACAGAACGTGGATCTTACTAAACAGACACCACATAGAAAAAAGTGTCCAAGTGATGAGGAAAAATCATCATCTACTGAAACAGTACAGCCACTTATGGACCACATGACACCAATAAGATCAGCTGTAGCAGAGGATCACTCAGCAGCCTGTACATCAAACACTCCACTGAATATAGAATCCACATTGTCATTTGAGAAGCATTGTTCTGTCAAGTCTTCATGTAGCATGACATTGACACAGAAGGTGCATACTTCTGAACAAAGATCACATAAGAGAGAGTGCCCAAGTGATGAGAAAACATCACCATCTACTGAAACAGTTCAGCCACACACGGATCACATGGAATCACATGGATCAGCTGTAGCAGAAGATTCATCTGCAGCATGTACATCAAACACTCCGCTGAATATAGAATCCACATTGTCATTTGAGAAGCATTGTTCTGTCAAGTCTTCATGTAGCATGACATTGACACAGAAGGTGCATATTTCTGAACAAAGATCACATAAGAGAGAGTGCCCAAGTGATGAGAAAACATCACCATCTACTGAAACAGTTCAGCCACACATGGATCACATGGAATCACATGAATCAGCTGTAGCAGAAGATTCATCTGCAGCATGTACATCAAACATTCCACTGAATATAGAAGCCGTATTATCGTTTAAGAGGCACTGTCCTGTCAGATCTTCATGTAGCATGACGTTAACACAGAAGGTGCATATCTCTAAACAAAAACCAGGTAAAAGAAAGTGTCCATGTGATGAGGAAAAATCAGCATCTACTGAAACAGTGCAGCCACACACGGATCACATGGATCAGCTGTAAGAGAAGATCCGACTGCAGCCTGTTCATCAAACACAGCAGCGAATACGGAATAGAAGATTCATCTGCAGCATGTACATCAAACATTCCACTGAATATAGAAGCCGTATTATCGTTTAAGAGGCACTGTCCTGTCAGATCTTCATGTAGCATGACGTTAACACAGAAGGTGCATATCTCTAAACAAAAACCAGGTAAAAGAAAGTGTCCATGTGATGAGGAAAAATCAGCATCTACTGAAACAGTGCAGCCACACACGGATCACATGGATCAGCTGTAAGAGAAGATCCGACTGCAGCCTGTTCATCAAACACAGCAGCGAATACGGAATAGAAATTATCGTTTAAGAGGCACTGTCCTGTCAGATCTTCATGTAGCATGACACTGACACAGAATATGGATCTTTCTGAACATAGACCACATAGAAGAAAAGATCCAAGTGATGAAGAAAAATCACCAGCTACTTAAACAGTGCAGTCATACCGACTGTCTGAAAAATGAAGGAAGTTGAACTAGATGCCCATTTTACTGTATAACTACAGCTTTTGGGAATAACCTGAATAGAATTTTAGCAAACACTGCAAATTCCGTGTAAGATTTGAGGTTTTCACAGCGGTGAGTATGAAGATTTCTGTCTTCTGGGTTGTTGCGACGTGTAGTATGGTCGATACTGCCGCCTCCTGGTTTCTATATCACAAACCATTTCTTCACGCAAGGCATATTCGTCGCCCTGATGACAGAGGCAGTATGACCTCAGAAATGTTGGTTAACATTGACCAGACTACACAGCGCAACAACCCAGAAGACAGAAATCTTCACTGCAAATTCTATCTTCAAGATGAATGTCTTTGGGGAGATTTGGCAGAACTAGGTGGTGAATGGTAGGGACCATGGTGAATGTAAAGATGACAATCTTCTGGGATGTTGTGCCATGTATTCTGGTAGAAACTGATTAACTTTATAGGCATGACTACTGCCTGCATTATAAAAGCTATCAGTAAGCCATAGAAAATATGGATACAGGTCTGGGATGCAAGGAAGGGAAGATGTAGCCCTCATCAGGGCTGAACTGGGACTTTCAGGGAACATCACAGAAAGCACAGTTCATATTTTAAAATCCATGATCATGTTGTCTAAGCACCTGGACTTTGCAGAGATATTGCTGGTGTTCTGAAGTTGAATTTAATAGCCCACGCTTAAATTGTGCTTGGCCCCGGTCGGTTTGTCTGCATGTTCCAGATGTATGTGTCATTGATGTTCCTTGACCCTAGATGGGTTGAAAGCCTATCAGATCTGCTGGTTTCTATAGCTTTTCTGCCCAAAAGTGGCTCATCCATTTTCAATAACCTCATACAGATTACCCTGTCTCCATTTCATCACCCACCAGTGCCCTTCCAACATTTCCAATCTGTTACAAGTTTACTGACATTTCAGAGGTGCTTGCTGCCTCTGTCGTCATGGCGATGATTATGCCTCGCATGAAGAAATGGTTTGTGATATAGAAACCAGCCTTGAACAGACCAGTGAGGAAGGTGAGCACTGGGCGAGGGCAGATGATAGAGTAGGAGGAAGGAGATATATCACAGCCTGGCTAGGTATGTTTGTGGAAGGGGAGGATATGTATAAAGAGAGAGATAAAAGAAATAACCCTTATCAGGGCCCATTGGGGAACAGAAGAAATATCACCAGACATAAGGATATGAGGGTAGATGGAAGGAGGATAAGGAAATGAAGTATAAAGGGGAGAAAAATAGAGATGTGGACTAAATAATCAAACTTACCATTCCCCCCCCCAATTTGGCCTGGTTGTGGTAAGCCCTGCCTCCTGTTGGCTGTTGGG